GCGCAGATGTGATTAACTCAATTGCTCTGAGATGGGTGTAAGAGCATTCCGAGAAAATCCCGATTTCAATTGCACATGGAAGTGTTGGACAGTTTAGTTTCTTATTGTACTAGTTGTGGCAATTAAGGTCACATTCATTGACAAGGGATCCATCAATCAGGCCGACTAATATTGGAAAGGGAAAATATACCGTGAGTAACTACTATTAATAAGAACAGTGATTCAAGAAATTGGATTTCTGCCATCAAAAGTGGAGAGTGGAGACCATACGCTGCACTTAAAAAATGTAAAATATGCAAGTACAGCTTTAGTACTATCCTCATGCATGATTCACTCTGTCTCCATTGATTTAGTTAAGTCGTGCCAACTTGATTTTTTTTTATACTTTTTTATCATACTTTGTTAAATTAAATGAGAAAAAGGGTAAATTGTTGAAACTTCTTTTGAAGTTTTTGATCATTGCTAAAACTTCCCTTTTGATAATTATAATCATTTTTCTTGTATTTTCTAAAATAATTGCATGTAGACCCCTACTCTAAATGTCTAAAATACCTATGCAATTATTATTAAGACATTACAAAAAAAAAAAACAAATTTTATGAAAAATATAAGAAAACAAGAGAATTTAAAGTTGCAGTTTTACCTTCGAGTAATTGATATGAAGGGTAAATTTTAAAAATAAATCAATTTTAGAAAACAGATTGGAAGGATTTAGGGTAGAGTTTGCCCTGAAGAGAATATTTGGATAACAAACACTTTGGTCAATAGTAATTGTATGATCAATTGGACATTTTCATACCTCTTCTTAGAGGATTTTAATAGAAGGGCCTACTTGGAAGTTGCAACCTATTAAAAAATTCAGAGGAGATGATTGCAATTATCAAAATTCAAGGGAGATTTAGCAATTTACCCAAAAAATAATAATGTGGAGCAGGTCAAGACCCACATGTTAGTAAATTACACGAATTCCCTATATGTCACACTAGCCTTAAGCTATACAATATTAATAAGATAATTACCCAATGTAAGGCCTTGTTCACTTTTTCAGCAACCTACTTTCTCATGTAAGTGCACTTATCATTTTCTTTTTTGTTTAGTTTATCCTGATAAATGTATCTTATGGGGGCATTTTTGACCATTTAAATTTTATTTCGTTTACTCTCTACCTCGGAAACTCAACTTACCCAAGTCTGAGAGCAAGTTGATACCGGGGAAAGTCAAATTTTCATGGGTCTCATTTGTGTTTCTGACATAAGAACATGGGCTGGTTGTTCAATGGAAACCACAATCCAATGGACCAATACCCCCACCCCCTCAAAATCCCAAAAACGATGTCATATTTTAATTGAATAAATCAAAAGATACAAGGGTGAAAGCTTACTAGTGGTGATGATGTGGTAGAGGAAAATATTTGGAATGGAGTGATGAGGGCCTATTTAAATGGGAATTGATGGTGTGCGATTTGGTTGTTCCTAATTGGATGGTAGTTCAGGTGTCGGTTGTTTAGTTGGTCGGTCGAACCATAAGACAGGAAAACTTAGAGAACTTTGGGTGGTTCACCCGACATGGTTGTTCCGATGCTTAAGTTAGTATTTGATTATGCGAGTTAGTAATTCTTGAATGAAAGAATGCTAGTAAGTAGTAAATCGCGCGTACCTGGGTCATAGGGGTTGGTGCCCTTATATAAGAGAGCTGTCGTGGGTCTCACGAAACTACCTCTGAGATCGTCAACTCGTACTATTAGGAGTTCGCTTCGCACCAGGAGGTGGATATCGTGCTAGTTGACAGGGCTTATCGAGTCCATTCGATCCAGGCGGGATGAGGATAAGGCCTACAGTCATGTGGTGTGATTTCGAAGAGCTCGGAAACAGGTAGCATGCTTCTAGAAGTCCACTACGTGTCACCTCGACAGGAAAGAATGCTAGCAATTCTTGAATGAAAGAATACTAGTAAGCAGTAAATCACACGTACCTGAGTCACAGGGGTTGGTGCCCTTATATAAGAGAGTTGTCGTGGGTCTCATGAAACTACCTCCGAGATCCTCGGCTCGTACTGTTAGGAGTTCGCTCCGCACTAGGAGGTGGATATCGTGCTAGCTGATAGGGCTTATCGAGTTCATCCGATCCAGGCGGGATGAGGATAAGGCTTATAGTCATGTGGTGTGATCTCGAAGAGCTCAGAGATAGGTAGCATGCTTCTAGAAATCCACTACGTGTCACCTCGGCAGGAAATACTGAGTCACTTATCCAGTCATCAGGTCGCATCCACGTGTCCGTTGTTTACTAGGTCGACCCCGATCACCCCTCATCAGGAACGAATACTAATTACCATTTGATTGAATATAATTGGAATCCCATTCTCATTCCTTCCCCCTCTCTTTGAGGATAAAAATACATTTCAGCCAATTGCAATTCGAATTCTAATTCCTGCCTAACCAAACATGTGAGAAAGAATAAATCATTCCAATTCTAATTCCAATAAATTGGAATTCTGATTTGGACTAAAAACCAAACACACCTTAAATTGATTTGGGTATGATATGATGGAAAAAAGTACTTATGAAAGTCCTGATGTAGAGAGAGAATAGTCGTGCATGGATAATGGCAGTGAACCAGTGGTGGAAGAGATAGAAAGTGGTAGCAACAATAGGAAAAATATAATATAGTTAGAAAATGTGGTAATAAATGAAATCTTGATAAATCATTTGAATGGTGGAGATTGATTGACCAATCTTAGCAAGTCATTAAGAAGGTCCAGGTCTTATGTTTATTCGGTATATTATTTTACTTGGCATGAATCGATTTAGAAATTTCGGTGCATTATCTGAATGGCTAAGAATGGTTGAAACCGTCCAGGTCAAACAAAAAATTAAAAAAAAATAAAAGTGATACAAAGTGATACACCACTTTGTATCACTTTAATGGTCTAGATTACTTGAATTTACTGATTTAAGGCACTCCTTCAATAATGATTTGGATCTTTGAATATAATATCATGACCAAAAATATTTCTTTTTAACAATATTAAATGTGAGAAGGACAAAATAATCTTTATAAGTAAGATAAAGGCATTTTTAGGGTTTTGAAATGTAACAAGCATGTGGCATGCACATGGGTATATAACATCCATTTTGATAAACTGCAATGGTATGATCTAATTATATTTAAATATAGTATAGTTAAGTGTGACAAAAAATAATACAAGAGGCTATCTCTTATACTTCCAAAATGCAGATAGGAGGGGTCCTGTAATTTACCCTAAGTTGTGCTTTTTCACCTTGGATCTATTTTATTGGGAAACAATGTGCTACTCATGTAATTTGCCAAAGTGAAAATGAGATTCATTCATTTTTAATGGGGAGAGGGTTGTCTGGATTACGACGTATGGGAAGAGTTATATCGTTGACAATCTATATCTATATAGGTAACAATACACCCACCATAACGCTTATACAGACCTTCTCTTCTCAATTTTCACACATATAACGACTATTTGAGATTAAATTAAATCATTTGAAATATAAAAATAAAATTCTTACATATTAATTTTTTCTAGTAAAATATTGATTCTTATATCTCCCTGCAAGGAGTCGCTACAGAGGCTCAGGACCCTAGAAGGAAACCAGAAGTGAATTCCCCCTTTGCCTCAAAAACGTCAAGTTTAGGAATGTTAACGGGTCGGGTTCGATATCAATTTGCTTTAATCCTAACCGGATCCTACATTATCAAACACGATTCAACCCAATTAAAAAAAAAAAAAACATAATTTTTGAATCTGACCTGACCTTAACCCGATACTGATCTGACCTGATCCATAGCATTTCAATTGTTTTAACATGTTTGAAGACTTAAAATTCATTAATTTAAGTTAAAATTGTTTTATAGATTTTAAGGTGTCATTTTTCACATTTAAAAAGAAGAAAATTAAAATCATAAATAAATGTTAAATTTTAAAGCTATAGAGTTAGAAATCAAAATGTTACGAGAATGCTTTGTATATATATAAGGTATCATGACCCAATAGGGTGGGTCAGCCAAAACCCAAACCTAACCCAAGCCCGATTCGAGTTATAGAATGAAAACTCTAACCTGACCCTAAAACCAAATATATTGACCCTAATCAAATGCTATAAGATCGGGTCAAACCGGATTTACCATTTAACCTGACCCATTGACATTCCTACTCAAATTCATGGACAATACTGTTCCGGTCACAATTAAAGAAACAGAACTTAACAAAGAGATTTGAAGCAGGTTACAAATGTCTTTAAAACATTAGATGAACCTCCTATATAAGAGCTAGATATAGCTTGAATCAGATGAAGGCAGTCTGACTTCAAAATTAGCTTTGACCAACCCGATTTTAAAGCTAAAAACAAAACCTTGACAAATCAAACCACATTTGCTACGATAGTATCGTAACCCTGCACTGAAACAACTGAATCAAAGCCTTTGATTTATTGCCATGGCCCCACCTTAAATCCGAGATTAAGTGATTTCTTGGGGCCATTACAATACATCTAAGTTCATAATTTTCTATTTTAGCCCTGCGTTATGACAGTCCCACAAAAAAAAAAAAAAAAAAAAAATTACTGTAATACAAGACCCAAGATGATCGGTCCCATTTGTGTGGATTATTATTACCTATTACTATTAGCCTTAGATAGCTGTCCCTGTGCAAGATGCCCAAAACTTCTAACAAGTCCAACCCCAGATCAGAGGCAACACAGCGTTCGCTTGCTGCATTTGTTTAATGCAGATACAGACTCATGACAAGTAAGATTCAGCTTCTCTCTTCATAGAGTTATGACATCTATCTGGGTTAACGAAAAGAGAATACAGATAAGGATACCCTCATTTGACAATAAACTAATCAAAAATCATGTTTGACTTTTCTATACCCTCTTCGGAAACAAAGTCTTGGTTAACTGGATCTGTTCATATTTCAAGCAGGCACAATATGACAATACCATGATAGTCCTATAAAAGGATGCACAAGGCTTGCCTTTCATTGTGGTATCGAGTCTCAGAGCTACTTCTATCTTGAGAGGGTGAGGTGATCGATATTGGGTTTTGTAAGAAGTCTCAAGATGAGGACTACTACGCTTTCCTTGTTCATTTCTATGCTAGTCCTGTGCGTTGTTGGCATTTGTCAAGGAGGCGCCCTGAGGAAGAACTTCTACAAAGATAGCTGCCCTCTTGCTGAGAAGATTGTTAGGGATGTCATTTGGAAACTAGCTGCTAGTGATCCTGCATTGCCTGCTGAGCTCGTGAGGCTGAATTTCCACGATTGTTTTGTTAGGGTAAGGTCTTCCCTTGTTCTATATACATGGGACTCATATGGGCCCATATCATTTGTGGTCCTATCTCCTATTATGTATAGAACAAGGAACGAAGATTTCCTACTCACTGAAATTCATGACAGGTAGAAAGTGGATAGGAAAAGTGAGTAGAAATGCCGTTTGTAGTAACCTGCGTTTGCCCCAGATCCAAAAGGCAAAGATACTTGCATGTAAAACAGACTACATATACGTATAACTAATCAAGAGTGAACATGCCAAATCATACACTTGCATTTGGCTATTTATTATGAATCCAAATTTCTTATCCACTCTTTATCCGCCATGAATAATTCATAATAGAGATGTGTAACTGTAATGTAATTCATGGTGGATAGAAAGTGAATAAAAAATCCCGTTTGATTCATTATTTGCCGCAAAGGCAAAATTTCCAACCGACAAACCTAAGAATACGAATTTGAGTCTAAGAATGGCCACTTTGTGCCAGATAATGCCCATAGACCAGCATGCATATTCACTCTAACCCTCCTATATATGACCCTGAATATACAGCCACTTAATTAGCCAGGGACTAACAAATTAATATGATCAATTAATTATTCATTCATGGGTTTACTACAACCTTGATATCAAGCCACTTCACCCAGTGCTTCACTGAAATGTGATTTTGGTGGGTTTATTCTTTCAGGGTTGCGATGCATCGGTGTTACTGAACTCCACTCCAAATAACGTAGCTGAGAAGGATGCAGTGCCAAATCTAACTTTGGATGGTGCAGACATTATCGACAAAGTGAAGGATGAGGTGGAGAAAGCTTGCCCCGGAGTTGTTTCTTGTGCCGATATCATCGCTTTGGCTGCTAGGGACTCTGTCGCCTTCCAGGTAAATTAATGCCCAAACTCATAAAAACATGTTACTAGTCTTATGATCAAGTGTTAGAAATGGTTGAATAGAAAGCCTTTTGAAGCAAATCATAGAACAAAAGTTCAGCACTTTGGCAAAATACAACTCTATTATTATATTATTCTCCTGGAAGCATACAGATCAAGAGGAAAGAATGAGTATGAGGTGCGTCAGAGCTAGGAGAAGCTCATTGCCTCATTGACGTTTTGTATCTGATTTTGCAGTTCAAGAAACCAATGTGGGAGGTGCTCACCGGAAGAAGAGACGGCACTGTGTCACTAGCCTCCGAAGCTGTAGCTAACCTCCCTCAACCATCCTCTGACTTTGCCACCCTGAGAAGCAACTTTGCCAAGAAAGGACTCACTCTTCACGACCTTGTGGTGTTGTCAGGTAATCCATATGGCTGGAGAAATACCAGCTGATGCTTGTGCCTTATGCCCACAGTATATATTTAACCACTCAAATCAAATGGGTGGTTTTCTGACATGACGTAGGCTCAAGCGAATTGGGATCTGTTCCTCCACAGAGCGCCACAAGCACATCCTACCATATAATATAATACATTAAGTACATGGTGGGATGTACCTTGAGATTGATGCAAGGAGCATATCCGGACTCGGATCGAGCTTGATGTGGCCGTGACATTTATTCACGTGTCCTAAACTCGGCCCCGCTCTAGTAGTTAACGTGGCCAAGTTTGTACCCTCTCTCTGATCCAGACTCTAAATAACCAAGAGCCCAGAACTGATCAGGTTATATTATTATTATTATTATTATTCAGCTTTTTGGGTTTTATAGTTCAGGTCCCGAAATAAGACCCAATAAGCTACGTAATCAAATACATATAATAATGAAATATGTTTGTCATATTTTAGAGTTTGTTTGTTTTGGGCCTAGTCCCAGTTCTATGGTGATCCGATCCAATCTGAAGTCCGATCTTATATTGTCGGATTCAGATATCTCTGCTTTGAATTTTTGGATTAGATTAGATTTGGATCACCCCATTCAATTTAAAAGGATTTGATCTGATATATACGTTATTTATTTATATAATATATATATATATTTTAATAATTTTTTTATAAAAAACATGTATATTGTGAAAATAGTTAAAAAAATATTTATATTTTTTTTTGTTTTTCTTATATTGTTTTCCTTTTAATAATTTATTATTTTTAAAAAAATTAAATCAGATCAAATTAGATATAGATATCCGATATCTTGATCCAATTTGAATTCAAATCAATATTTATGAAATTCAATTAGATCTTTGGATCGGATTCAAATATACCCTGATTCAAATCTAATCCGATCTAATTGCATTCCTAGTAACCAAGTAAATTTTTAAGAACGGATAGATCGGGCCTGATCAAAAATCAATTCAGACCCAACCTTAAATATACAAACTTCAGGCTCAGGCCTGAACCAACCAGAGTTGAGTTTATCAACCCAGGCCCAACCTTAGTCTCTTCTTAGTTCAAGGCTCCAAGCCCAGTCCGTAGCCCTAAAATTGTCACTAATGCAAAACTTAACACAAGTTGGTGTTGTACGTTGCAGGTGCACACACTTTTGGACATGGACACTGCGACGCTTTCAGCAAAAGGCTTTACAACTTCACAGGGAAGGGAGATGTAGATCCGTCCCTGGACCCAACCTATGCGGCTTTCCTGAAAACCCAATGCAAAACCCTCTCAGACAACACTACTACAGTAGATATGGACCCCGAAAGCCCTCAATCGTTCGACAACCACTATTATGTGGTCCTGAAGCAACACAAGGGTCTCTTCCAATCAGATGCTGCCCTTCTAACCAACAAGATGTCTAGCAACATTGTCGACGAGTTGCTTAACCAGAATAAATTCTTCACCGAGTTTGGTCAGTCCATGAAGAGGATGGGAGCCATCGGAGTCCTTACTGGGAACTCTGGGGAGATTAGGAAGAAATGTGGAGTTGTGAACTCTTAACCCTCACCGGCCTGTTTCCTTTTTCATGGCGTCTACGGGTTTTCTTTTTCAGTTTTTGTGTTTTCTTTTTTAACTGAGAGGAGTGGTTTATTTGAATGTAGAAGTTGCGTTGAAAATTGTTGATTTCTACTCTCCACTAATAAAAGAAGTAATAATGGGAATCATGGGAATTTTTTCATAAGTTGTAGTTTCAAAGTTATTTAACTATGACATATGCTTTTCTATTTGGACAATGGTTTGTGTAGGGGTGAGCAAAAAAACCGAAAATCTGAATCGACTGAAAAAAATTGACCCAAACCGAATCGAAAATTCAGTTAATCAAATCGGTCGATTTAGTTTTGGTTAACTAAAATAGAAAATAAGCGATTAATCGAATCAATCCGTATATATATATATATATATATATATATATATATATATATATATATANATATATTTTTTATATGTTATAAATTAATAAATATGCATTATATATAAATATATATCTATAATATATAATATATTATTTATTATTTAAAATATAATATTATATATATTTTTAATATTTATTATATATTTATATATTATTTATAATAATATTATAAATAATAAAAAACCAAAAAATCGATGAACCGAACCAATGATTAATTGAACCGGTCAACCAATTAACCAATCAACTTCAATTCGGTTTCGGCTATCAATTTTCCAAAAACTGATAACCCCATTTCAATTTCAAAAATTAGCTCACTATTCAATTAACCAAACCATGAACAACCCTTATTTGCGGTGAAGTATGAAGCTCACCTACAATCCACTTATCAAACCTGGTCTCAATTCGTCATTGATTAAACAGGGCTTAGCTATTTTCACCTACAAACCTACAAAATCCATTTTCAAACTTGGGCTTGGCTTTTCACAGTTGAGAAGAATATGTCATAAGGCCATTCTCAAACCTGGACCTATTTTATCAGTAGTTGAGACCCATGTGATGCACGAGCTATGTTCGCAGAAGGAACCCTATGACATTCTAAATTGAGTTAAGCTGGTTTATGTCTAAATTAGACATTATATTTTGGGTTATGTTTAGTCGATCTAATCAAAATCCAAATTGCACTCAAGTGGATCAAATTTGGATCATATCCAGATACATCCGCATTCAATATGATTATTAAACCTTTGGATTTGAGTCCAATTTCGAATTGGATTGGATTTAGATTTAATCCATATCCAACTTTTAATAGGAGGGGTTCAATCTACCTTTGATCTAATTATTAATCAAATGCAAGTTCAAAGATCCAAATCCAAGATAATCGGACTTAGTGCCCAATAAGGCATCAGACTTTCAGTCAATTGACAGCCCTAATTGCAACCCCAGTGGGATTGATCGGATTTTTTTAATTTTAAATAATATTAAATTAATAAAAATTAATTATAAATCAATAGTTATATTAATGTTTAATTATTAAAATTTTAAATTAGTTCTAAAAAATTTACTAATTTAATTATTTTAAATCATCATCATCTTTCAAGCATTATCCCAATGTAATTAATCTAAATCAATTTTGAACTACTGAAAATTAATTTTGAATTTTATAATAATTTATTGTTTTATAATAAATCTTGTTTTTATTAATTGTAAATATATTTAAATATATTTTTTAAAATTATAATTATTAGAAAACTAATGTAATTCATTTTTTAAATATTTTTATTAGTTTATAATTTTTTAAGGGAATTTAAATGGATTCCACGATTCAATAGTTAAACAATAGATTTCTATTCAGTCGACGTTGCAATCTTGTTCCCTTTCAAAATTTGCCCCAAAATCCCCATTCTAAATTTCTCCTATTTTTTTTATTTTCTTACTTTTTAATGCCATATCATTTTCTAGGCAAATCAATGAACATCTACCAATTCAACCTAAGGCTCCATTTGGAAAGAGTACAAATACAAATATGCATTAAACCTTGTATTCTGTATTATTTTGTATGTATTTGTATTTGTATTCCTTCCAAACTGAGTCTATGCAGACAATGAGCATCTGTCAACCCAAGCAAGCCTTGATTGGTAAGTTATATCCAGTTGCTCAATACCCAAGCAGACAAAAGCCAGGTTCCTCTTTTCTCAGTACCTCATCTATTATACTTACAAAGAGAGTACATCAAGGTTTTTAAAACCAACCCAGAGAATGAACCGGTCAGGGGTCCAGTTCCCGGGTCAAATGGTAGGCCCGTTCTGACAAAAAAATAAAAAATAAATAAATAACAGTCAAAATCATTGAACAATTTGAACAATTCAACCACCCAGGTCAGCGGTTTGCTGACCAAATCAGTGTTTTTTTTTTCTTGCAAATATCTGGTTTTGAAAAAAAAAAAACAAGACCGATCCCCATCCCGTTTTTCCAATCCGATTTTAAAAACCATGGAGTAGATTATTTGTTATCTAAATTCCCTATTTACCTCCAAAAATTTCTTCCCATATAAACGTGTAGAGCCATGATGCTGCCATCTCCTACTATAACGCCCAAAAATGTTTCTTAGTGCCTCTTTGTGTGCTTACATCGGTCTTTCTTCCCTCTCCTGCTCTGTTTTGTGCTATATTAGAGAAGAAAAGGTAACCCAAATGATCAAACGAGAAGAGAAAACCAAGACAGAAACCCTGAGGGCCTCAAGGCTTTATTGTGGCCTTCTGTTTTCTGTGTATCCATCCGGTTATATGTATTTAATTTGTAAAGGATTAGCTATGAGCAAATTATGGAAGACATTGTTGTGGAACAGAGTGTTTACCATGTATGCCTAACCGCCCTAACGTCATGTTTTAATAAAAGGAAGCTATGATTATTTGACCAGTTTCTTGTCGGAAACCAGCTTCAGTGGAATTTCCAGTGTCCATGTAACGTTTTCAGCACCAAACAATGTCACTTTAATGACAGTAAGGCCCCATTTTTTTATAATAAATTATTTATTTGGGTAAATACACTTTTATCATATATTTTATTATTTTCATGTAAATAAAATAATAATTATTTTAATCATAAAAATTTATTATTAAAAGAGACATTTTTATTCTATCCCAGTATTGACAAATTCACTCGGGTGAAAAAATTATTTACCCATGACGGAGATGAATAAAATATGACTCCAGTGATTGATGAGCTTGCATTGTCCTCCTCAGGCAAATTGAATCCGTCGTCAATAAGGACAAGTGCTGGCAAGGTAAGTTCGTACGGACTTTATACATTTATCATTAATTATTGTCATTAAAACTTATTTCAATTCCTATTCTGGATTCATTCAACCCAGGAAGTGATAAGTCTGTGTTGAAGACCCTGTTTTGAATTTCTTTTAAGGTCTCAACCCAAAATCCAAGTAGTTTTGAATTCAACCTCATCAGGTACGCTATTCAATGATGTTGTTAGTACGTATAAATGTTTTTCTTCTTATCTTTTGGGTTGTAAATCTCTATTTGTAATGTTCTACTTAATGGTGCCATTAGTCTTATGTTAGAAATTCCGTTGTAAGTGGTGACAAGTTTATCTTGAAGTCTGTTCTCAAGTCACATTTCAAGCTCTGTTGAAGTCTCAACCCAAATATGGAACGATTTGGAGGTTAATCACATTGTTTTCAACTTCCAAGCATATTACTAAACGGGGCTGTGTACCTTTGTCATTATTATTAATGATGAAAATCTCAAACACAGATTTGGAGCTCGCATCGATTTCTCAAATACGTCGTTTTATTTGGTTTAACTTCAAATTAACATGTGAATGCTGTTAACGGCAATTCATGCGGTTGAATCCGACACTAACAGACAAAATAAAATAAAAAAAAAAAAAAAACATATTTTTGAATTATTTGGAAGCCTCGTTTGAACTCCCATCGCATTCTCTCATCCAAGCCTGAACAGCCAAGCTCGAGCCACCACCAGTGATTTCCCTGTGCAACCGATGTCCGACATCGTAGAATCAACCGGTGGCAAGAAACAACCTGCGGTAAGTTCCACCATTATTATTATTATTATTATTATTATTTTCTTTTTGCTTTTCAGTGATTCTGAAGTCGGAGTTATACCCTGAACTCCAAATCAGCGGGTACCGGGCAACCAATTGAAGTTCCAACAGAGCAAGTTTGTTTCTCCACCGTCCATATCATTTCTTCGCTTTAGCTTGCTATTGATTCAGGTTACTTCCGTGCATGGAAGGGAGTTCCCTTGTCCACCTATTTCAGGACCTACTAGTTTGCTTGGAATGGCAGGGTTCAACCTTCAGATGTTCGGGATCCCCATGTCAATTCCTCGTGCACCCATTATTCCTCTGTCTGGAGGTCTTCAACAAAATCAATTTTCTGATGCCTCTGGAACTGTAACTCCAGTGAAGGTTTCAGGTTGCAGCTCTTCCATCAAGTTCAAAGGAACCATAGCCAAGCATTAGCCCTCAGATTATGCTAGGGGTGTCAACTGGACTGGATTTGGTCCAATCCGATCCAGTTCAATATTGGTCCATTTACAAATGGACTGGACCAAATTCGGTCCAAACCGGATCCAGTCCAGTCCAATTGAAATGCAAATGGACCGGATTGGACCCAATCTGGTCCAAATTATATGTTTTCCTCAGAAAATATTTTGGTTGTGATGATGCACGATCTGGCCGGTCTTAGCTGTTGATGATCTTGCCTCCGAAATGAGTAACAGGGACCTGAAACGGGAGGAGAAGAGAGGCTCCGGGGAGAACC